ATTTTAGCTCTGAGGAAGGGCGTTCATCTCCCGAAACGCGTCAGCTTATCCCTTTTAAGGGCACAGCATTGTATTGACTGTCATTGCGGACCACATATTCTGCTGTTAATTTCCATTGGTTTGTGAGTATACATCTATTTGTCTACATAATAAATACATGGTGTACCACGGTAATGCACAATGAGAGTGCGCCCTTGTCTGCTTTTGTTCACAGGGGAAAAATCAAGTTTTTGACAGTACACAGCACATTTATGTATAGCACATGCAGGGTAAAAAAGAAAACATTCTTATAAGAAATAAGTACAACCTTATATAGCAACTGCAGCTAAATAGTAACTCGCATCTTTCAGTACAAGAGATGTTTAGGGTGCAATTCAAAATTCTTATCAGTTCAAGGTCAATATGAAACAGCCTAGGAGTATATTGTATATCTGTTGCAGATAGGTTGGGGGTTTCTTGGATTTCTAGTATTCTACAAAAAAGCATTTAAATTTCAAATAAAGCTCTAGAAATTGCTTCCCTTAGTGCCTTCCTTTACTGCTAGATCATCCAGTATTCCCACAAGGCATTGCATTGAATTTATTGTATTAACAGCAACCCAGTACCTGTGAAGCTTGTGACAGCGCCAAAGCATATGGATTGAATCACCATGAACTCTATGACACTTTCCTGTGAGGATAGTCTAATAAACCCATTTTAAAACCTTTTAATGGTGTATGAGTGCATAATATACAGTCGGTGTATAGGAGATCCATTGCGCTGTAGGTATTCCATATACAAAGTATTGCAGCTAGCGTGTACTGTGTTCCCACATATAAACCATAAAGCATACAAATATCAGCGCAGTACTATAAACTCGAAGTGCTAAATAAATCCAATGTGCATATGTGAATAGTGAAACATGCAATTGTGCTTCGTGACATAAATATGTGCTACATCAAAATAAATATCAACACATATATGTAAATACATTTAGCACTGGTATATGCAGTTTATTTACATATGTTATTTATTTTGATGTAGCACATACAATTGTGCTTCGTGACAATAATATGTTTCACTATTATAGTTTATAGTACTGCGCTGCATTTTTTTTTATATATATATATAACATACAGTCGGAGTCTTTGGGATCATATCCCCAGCATTTAGATATTCATACTGAGCCTACACTGTTGCTATCTGTGGCAGCCACACTTAGGGGGTGTCTGCTGTTTCTCTAAAGTGTCATGTATCTCCTCCCTGTTTAAGTTGGTATCCTTTTTGTTTTTGTGTATTAAATATAAATTGGTGAATATTATCACTGAGTTGGTTAGTATTTGATTATGTCGTCCTTTTGTTTTTGTAAAACTTTTACGTTTGTCTTCTGTACTTGTATTAAATAATTCCTTCCGTTTAGATAAATACCAATTATGCCATGCTCCACTGTTGCAAATAAATTATAAATACATGAATATGTGCAAATTTCATAATGCAATTTTACATAAATTCACTGTGAATATCAATGTCCATATACAATTCTTCACAGTTCTCATGTTGGCTTTAAAAATACAAAAAATCTGTGCTTCTTAATTCACCTCCTGTGTCGAAATTCACTTCAAAACTCGTGCACCCCCACCGGTTGTGCTCTTACCTCAAATATGACCAAACCGTTAAGTGAGGTTATATATAGCCTGTGTCCCTTTAATTGGGCTAACTGTTTATGGCATCCCTTTCGTTCATCTAATGGCTCTCCTCCAATGGTGGGTATGTTGAGAGAATAACCAGATCATAGTGCTTTTATCCTTAAACACTCATTTATTAATATAAGGTAGTACACTCACATGATCAATGTACAAAAAGCGCTTTGTACGCTGATCATGTGAGTGTACTACTTTGTATTAATAAATGAGTGTTTAAGGATAAAGCACTATGATCTGGTTATTCTCTTAAAATACCCACCATTGGAGGAGAGCCATTAGATGAGCAAAAGGGATTCCATTCAGCAGGATATCATCCCATCCACAGTTGGACCAATTAAAGGGACACAGGCTGTATATAACCTCACTTAACGGTTTGGTCATATATTTGAGGTGAGAGCACAACCGGTGGGGGTGCACAAGTTTTGAATTGTATTTCGACACTGGAGGTGAATTAAGAAGCACAGATTTTTGTTTTTGTTTTTAAAGCTAACATAAGAGCTTTGAAGAATTGTTTATGGACATTTTGTTAAATTCACTTTGAATGTATGTAAAATTGCACTATATGAAATTTTCACTTACTTATTTTTTAATTTATTGGCAACAGTGGAGCACGGCACAATTTGAAATATATGTAATTAGGCACATTTTGTATGAGTATGTGTTAGGTGCAGACGATCTACTAATTTTATATTTTGGTTTGGCACTAAGCATATGTTATAGCCGCTCACAAGTCTTGAATATAATTCCTTCCGTTTGCTGGGCTTTAGAATGTATCCTTAAAAGCAGGATGGCAATCCTAACTCTGCTTTTTATTTCAGCAATTGACATCTGGTCTGCAGGCATCATCTTTCTATCCATGCTCAGTGGAAGATATCATTTCTTCAATGCTGGCGATGATATGAATGCTTTGGCACAAATCATGATGATCCGTGGCTCACAAGAAACCATTAGAGCTGCTAAACAGTTTGGTAAGCATTCAGGAGAACCTAGTTTAGAACAAAATGTGCAACTTATACTTATATTTATAGCCATATCAATTTGGTAAGATAGTATTACACTCTAAACCAGCAATGGGCAAACTACGGCCCGCGGGCCGTATACGGCCCGGGGCCGTATACGGCCCGGCGGACCTTTTACTCCGGCCCGCGGAGCTAAGCTCCCGCTAGGCTCCTCTCACAGTCCGCCCTGAAGACTGGTGTAGCATGAAAATCTGTCTCCTATGAGGATCTGTCCCCCTCGACGTATCTGCGCATGTGCCGGAGATCGCCGATCGGCTGCTAATGCCTGAAACTGGTACATGCGCAGATACGTCGAGGGGGACAGATCCTCATAGGAGACAGATTTTCATGCTACACTGGAACGGCGCGGGAATACGGCGAGAGGAGCGCGCGGAGCAAAGGTAAGTGAATTGACACAGGGGGGACTTGGGGACTTAATATGGGGAATGAATTACTATAGGGGGGATGAATTACTATATGGGGGATGAATTACTATATGGGGGACTTGGGGACTATATGGGGGGATGAATTACTATATGGGGGACTTGGGGACTTAATATGGGGATGAATTACTATATGGGGGATGAATTACTATGGGGGGGGAATTACTAAATGGGGGACAAATTACTATGGGGGATAAATTACTATATGGGGGATTAATTACTATGCATACTATGGGGGAATATTACTATACTTACTGTGGATGACACATACACATCATTCATCTACTCTTGGTCCGGCCCCCGGGTCCAATATATGAACCCATTGCGGCCCTCAAGTCAAAAAGTTTGCCCACCCCTGCTCTAAACTGTGTTCAGTAATATAACTGAAAGCCATGCAAAATGTGCCAGACTTGTTGGAGAAAAGTAAAGCTTCCATTAAAGCTTGAATAACTGTTAAAGCTATGTTAACAGATAAACCAATTAGTAATAGAGTAGTAAGAAAAAAAAAAAAAAAAATTTTTTGTTTTTTTTGGAGTCTGTCACAGGCCAAAGGGCACTTCGTATTCATGACAACTTGGATTATGCTGCCACCTTCAGTTGAATTGGACACTGGTCAAAAAAGGCAAGTATCCCTGTCCAGGCATAACCAACCCTTTCCAGCTCATCTAAGCCTCAGAGTTGTATCAAGCAATGAGGAACAGACCAGGGGCTTCAAGAAAAGGCTAAAACAAAAGTCTATTGTACATCACTGGTCACTTAGAATTCATGACTGCTTGGGATGTGCAAAAGCACTAAACATGAGGGGCGGGGGTGGGAAACAGCAAAGCTTATGACATTCCTAAACGCCAAATAGGGGGAAAATTCCACTTTAAAGCTGCCTGCAAGATCTTTCGATCAAAACTGGTGCCTGCATGGGTGAGAATATCCCCCTGGTAGAACCTGGCTAATGTGTGAAGAGAAGGTGACAGCCTTATGAGCTTGAACAGCAGCCTAATGCTGAGTTGCCCAGGAGGTGCTGGCACAGTGCAAATGGCCTTGACCGGGAAAGGCGGAACCTTGCCCTTGATACCATGAGCATGAGAAATAAACTGACAAATCCACCTAGAGATAGTGGATCGAGAAGTAGCTTGATCCTTGTGAGAACCCTCAGGTAGAACAAACTGGGACTCAGATTGTTGAAAGCTGTGAACTTCAAACAGCATGGAAGCAAAGCATCTTTGATTTAGTATGCTTAGGATTAAGACAAAAGGATGACAATACAATGTTCTGATTCTGCTGGAATGAAAAATCTACCTTGGGTAAAAAGAAAAAAAAAAAGGCTGAGGTCTCAACACCACTTTAATCCTGGTGAAGTACCAAGAAACAGCACAGTTAACTCATAGACCCTACGAGCTGATGTCATGGCAACAAAAACACAACCTTGCATGTAAGGAGCAAAAAGGGAATATCTTGGAGAGGCTCAAAAGGAGAAGTCTGCAAGACAGACCAAACCAAATTCAGATCTCCGAGACAAGGGGGGGGGGGGGGCCTTACAGGAAGGGCAATTTATGTGACACCTTGAACTAAAGCTTTTACCAAGAATGGGATACAATAGGTCTCTGAACCAGAATGGCCAAGGCTGAGATCTGCCCCTTGATGGCACATAAAGCCAAAGACCATCACACCAGATTAGAGAAATGCCAAAATGTGCGCAGTGACAGAGATGACAATTACAAGTGTATGGTTAGAAAAAGAGAAAATGGGGCGACCATCAGGTAGTAGGAGGTCACACCCAGGAAAAATGTCATACATGTCCCAATTGGAAAATATTTAAGGCAAAAAAATATAACTAATGGACTTTGTAGGTACATAAACTCAGTACACAAAGAATAAAAATGTTACTTTATTAATATATCACATCTAAAATGTATCTTGCATGTATTTAAAATTGCTTTGCACAATTGAAACACACCATGCTCCCACCCCACCAACCAAAAATTATAGGCTAATTTCAAAGGAAGTTAGGTGGAGATGGTAGACACAGTTTACTTTTAGAGGGTGGGGAATATCCAAGCTGTGTGGAAAACACCCAACATGTTTCGTGACTGGAGTCGCTTCTTCAGGGGCTAGCAACGCATCTAAAAGATTAACAACGTTAAACAGTAATCGTGTAGAATTAGGCAGGAAATAAAGCATAGGTACTGCCTATCCGGCACTTACATAGTTAAACCGTGTATTGTTTGGTTAGGAACTCAATGCAGCAAACCTGGTCCCCCCCCCAGTCAAGCAAAGATGAAAAACCCCACTGTCGGGTGTGGGGGTGCATCAATTATGCAGTGGGCAGACAGAGAACCGCACGGAACTCACAGGCATTCAGCAGATGAAAGACTAAAATCAGAGGTGCAGGTTGATAGTCGACAGCGTCAACATAACAATCCATCTAGTAAGGATTAGTAGTATACAACAGAATAGGTCTAAATAAGACCACAATGTGAAATATAAATTAGTGGTGTCTTAAAAAGGGCAACCCATCTAGTATTACATAATAAACCAAAATACCAAAGAAAAGTTACCTGTATAAATGAAGCAACATGTCCACTGTATAGACCCAAGAGGCACATGTAGACAACCACTCGCTGTAAGGCAAAGAGCCGAGAGGCTCTCAACTATTCCAAAATGGATTACCTCCACTGTAGGGCATGGGGACCAGTTGACCTGAAAAACAGACTACCCCCATTTTTATGACCCCTGTCAACTCACACCTCCCAAATAACATATAATTGTCATTTCAACTGCACAAGAGTTCAATAAACCTGTAGCCAAAGAGCGAGCGCACAGCCTAAATAAGCTACAGGTTGCCCTCATCAACGTTTCATGAGTCAGAGAGGGTTGTCTGCCAACCCACACTACTTTAAATATGCCCTGACCGGGCACGGCAACGTTGGCCAGCATATGATGTCATCCCAGCCTGACCAGAATGTCCATGCATGAGCAAGTAACACGCGCAGATTTACACACTGGAGGACCGCCTAACATGACACCACAATGCAAACGTGGGAACGCTTGTGCGCATGGGGGGGATCCAAACCCCCCCCTTTCCCCCCAGAGCCCACAAGGGGCCACAGAGGGGCGGGATAGCCAGCCCGCAGATCAACCGCGGCCTACCGGCCACACACCTGACCAACCACGGGCCACCGACAAGGGGACCAGGAGGTAATCTAGCCACAAAGAACGGGTCCAAAACCATAATATCAATATCACATATTGTACAAGACATTGGCAAGAAATGAAACTGAATAAAACCATTCCATATATACTGTACATATGCAAAAACGGCCACAAAATAATCCATAGACCTTGCAAAGCAACTGGGTCCACCAGTGACACATCCACAGCAAAACACTTCGAAAGAATACTACTCAATCCAGGACCACCCCCCCCCCCCCTATCCCCAGAGAAAGGCATAGCCACAAAGAAGGGGGCATTAACAAAAAACCCCAAGATGAAAACAGACCTTAAGTTCCATAATTATAAGTGATTGGTCATAGTAGTTGCAATATTTGATATAAACGGGACCTGTATCAATAATTACACAGATCATTCTTAAAGTTATATATGTGTAGAAGGCATATATATATATATATATATATATATATATATATATATATATATATATATATATATATATATATATATAGTAGTAAGCCAGGTCAATAAAGGTCAATCCCACGTCAAGAAACCACATGATCCCCAACTGGTCATATGTTTGTGGATCTATACCCTTAAATCATAGAATTTGTATGATAGAATTTCATTAAGGCCTGGTGGATTTACTGCATTTAAACTTTAGATCCACTTGGTTTCTCTACGGAGAATTTTTTTTTTATCCCAATTGCCTCCACGTGGGTCTCTCCTAACTACCTCCAATACAATACATCTAGCATGTGTGGCATCAAATTTGATATAGTCCCAAATGGCGACTATTAGGGGTGAGCATTTTGGCATTAGATGAATAATAAACAAGATAATATATGCTTTGACTAAACTGATGTATGGTTTTACCCACATAATAAGCCCCACAAGTACATGTCGAGGTATATTGCTCCCCTAGGTGTACAATTGGCATGAAATTTAGGGATCAAAATCTCTCCATTGGGTAGAATGAATTGTCAGCCAGTCTGCACCCAAGGGCAATATGTACACTTACCGCAGGCAAAAATGCCATTAGGGAGTGTAGAAAAGTTAGTTCTTGGTACATAGTGACTCGATGTTAGTTTATCTTTTATTAGAGACTGCTTTACAGAACACCAACTCAGGATAAACTTTAATGTATTTATTTAATATGGTATCCTCCTGCAAGAGATGCCAATAACATATCGTAGTTCCTGATGTTGTAGAGTACTGTTTATAAATCTTACTGTTTGGTGTTCAGCTTTAGGTTTAGATGTAGAGTATAATGATGTCCTATCCTTAGCCAATGCCTTTTTATTATAAGGCTTTATGTAAAAGAGTCCTATTATAGCCCCATAAAAGAAGACGTTGGCGTAA